GAAATCCTGGGTTTAGGGTTTAGGGGTTTAGGGGTTAGAGGTTTGGGGTTTAGGGGTTTAGAGGTTTGTGGTTTAGGGGTCTAGGGTTTAGGGTTTGTGACACGGGATTTGGCTCCAGCGGCCTCAACCCTAATCCCTATAGAACCCTAAGCCCTAAACGGAAATTGAAGAGACACCCATCCGAAACCCTAAACCCCGAACCCGAAAACTCTCCACGCCTAAACAAAAATCCTTAAACGCTGAACCCGAAAACTCTACACACCTAAACAAAGATCCCTAAACCCTAAACCCTAAACCCCGAACCCGAAAACTCTAAGCCCAACCTGAAACCCAAAAACACCGAAAACTCAGAAGCCGAAGCATTGAATTTAGGGTTTAGGGTTGAGGGTTGAGGGTTTAGGGTTTAGGGTTTAGGGTTTATTGAACCTGAGTGAAAAGGCACCAACCAAACCGAGGGGTTCTAGAAGGCGGTGGGGAAACCTAATTAGCCCCAATGTAGTCCCTATGTAGGTACTTTAGGGCCGTGTATATGCTATATGAGTACATGGACCCTTAGGGTAAAAATGCGAGCGAATACTGTTCCTTTGGTTTCCGATGCGTACTGGTATCCCCTTCTAGCTTTTAGGTAGGACATTTTCAGGTGGGTAGTTGCCGTTATAGGAGCATTATAGAAGGTCTATATAATTTAAGGAAGCCTTAGAGAAGCCCTACATACCCTAAACTCCCCACCTGACCCTAAACCCTAAAGCCTAAACCCTAAACCCTAACCCCAAGGGTCCATATAAGGGTCCCTCCTTTGGTCCCTAAACTCACCACCTGTAGTTTCCTTTCATTGATGGTCAAAATATATAAAGCCCCTCCTCTAAAGATCCGGCTAAACCCTAAACCCTAAACCCTATACCCTCTTCTAAAGATCCGGACCGGGGTCATGGTTCACGCCTCGACGGCCAGAAAGGCAACCCAAGACCCCGCATCGACCGCCGAGAACTTACGTCGTTAGGATTCATTTCTAGGGTTTGGGGGTTTAGGATTTAGGGTTTAGGGTTAAGGGTTAAAGGTTTAGGGTTTAGGGTTTAGGATTTAGGGTTTGGGGGTTTAGGATTTAAGGTTCAGGGTTTGCTTTGTTTCCTGAGACAAGCCCATAGAAAGGCAGGTGTGGGAGTTTGAAGGTAAGTCGCACAGCCCCTGACCCCAAATCAACAAGCAGAAGCCGATTAGCCTTCACAAAACCGGGGCCCAAAAACCCCAAACTTTCTTTCAGAAGCTTTGGGGCTTGGAGCTGATGGTTTAGGGTTAAGGGACCCTAAACCCTAAACCCTAAACCCCTAAACCCTAAACCGATGTAGGGTTTAGATTTTGAAGACACTGTCGCAGGCTAGCTCCGACCTAATCAGCCACAACGTGCTGATCGCTGCCTGCGGCCAGGTGCGGTGAACGAGTTTTTATAAGGCTTGGGGCGTACCTTAAACTACCAGAACCTACTTTTTTTGTAGGGTCCCTATAAATTCTATATTAGGTAATAAGGACCTACAAAAAAGTAGGTTATGGTAGTTCAACGTAGGGCTTAGGCTGTAGGGCTGAGTTCCCGGCATGCTGATGACTCACATGCTACGGTTTAGGGTTTAGGGTTTAGGGCGTTGGAACGGCTTCCTGCTTGCTCGGTCGGTTAAATCCAGTAGCGCACGATTTGGGCCAACCCTAAAACCCCCTTTAATAACAACCCCCCTTATAAAACCCCTAATCCCTAATCCCTGAGGATTGGCTTGGCTCAGAGTTTCCTTGATAGGCCAAGGGCTGTGTTTCTTGAATCTTCAGAGGTTTAGTGTTTTGGCTTTGGGGTTTAAGCCTAAATCCTAAATCGTACGGCTGATGATATAAATCCTGCCAGCAATAAGGAATGTACCATAATTCCCATAGTTTAGGGTCCTTAAGGTGATGCAGGAGTTATATCATCAAGAGTAGGGTTTAGGGTTTCGGGTGTGCCGGAAGTCTCCGGGCAATACAGCGACCGTGACCTACTTGGAGGATCGGGGGACTTAGTAAGTAAGGTTGTAAGTACCAATAGTGGCTTTCAGGGTTTGTCCTAAACCCTAAACCCGAAAGGTTGCAAGTACCTTGGTTGTGGTTTTTCAGCATTTATCCTAAACCCTAAACCTTTAGGTTTTAGGGTTTAGCGTTTAGGTTTTTAGGTATTCTAGGGTTTAGGGTTCAGGGCAAATGGCCGTACTATCCCGAACTATTGGGGCTGCTTTTCCCTGTAAGTACCACTTGTCATTGTAGTATGCCCCAAACCCCATACCCTAAACCGTAACGCCTAGACCCTGATCCTATTCAAGCTCTTAAGTTCTTAAGGCCCATATTTTGAACAAACCTATGAAGCCCTACTAAACTTTGATAAGCCCTAAGACACCCGAAGAAGCCTTAAGAACCCCTCAACGTAGTAAAGCCTAGGCCCTTCAACTGGTTCTTGCTGAGGGTTTAATCTAAGTTACCATAATAGGGGTCTATGTTAAATAACCTGGATTTTAAGTTACCATAATGGAGAGCTATAGTCTATGGTTTCTTTATTATGGTAACTTAAGTTCCCTAACCCCTAAATCCCTTAACCCTAAAACCCTAAACCCTAAACCCTTAACCCTAAATCCCTAAACCCCTAAACCCCTAAACCCTGACCCCTAAACCCTAAACCCTAAACCCTAAACCCTAAACCCTAAACCCCTAAACCCTAAATCCTAAACCCTAAATCCCTTAACAAGAGCCCAGTCAAGGGCTCCGCGTGGGCGGCATCTCTGGCGCTGCTGGCGGCAATGCCCAGCCGTGAATTGCGAGCGGACGGTCTGGGGTTCTTCAAGGTTTTGGGATTTGGATTTTAGGGTTTTAGGAATTTAGGGTTTTGGATCTTAGGGTTTTGGTAGTTTAGGGTTTTATAGGGTTTATAGGGCTTTATAGGGTTATTCAGGGTTTGGGATTTTAGGGTTTGGGAGATTTTGGGTTTAGTGTTCTTCAGGGTTTGGGATTTTGGGGCTTTAGGGATTGAGGGCTTTAGGGCTTTAGGATTTAGGGGCTGGGGTTCTTCAGGGTTTTGGATTTTAGGGTTCTTCGGGGTTTTGGGGTTTAGGGATTTAGGGATTTAGGGTTTAGGGTTTAGGGGCTGGGGTTATTCAGAGTTTTGGATTTTAGGGTTTTAGGGATTTAGGGTTTTAGGGTTTAGGGGTTTTAGGGTGTTAGGGATTAGGGTCCAGATGCTTAGGGTTTAGGGTATCGGGCTTTTGGGCCTTTAGGGCTTTGGGGTTTAAGGGTTTGGGGCTTTAGGGTTTTAGGGATTAGGGTCGAGATGTTTAGGGCTTACGGCAGTTTAGGGGAGTAGGGGCTAGGGGGATACGGTTGATGATGATGATGATGATGATGATGATGATGATGATGATGATGATATATATATATATATATTCTGCAATAACCCATAATAAGGAATATACCATAATTCCCATAGTGTGGGGGAAGCTAATGCAGGGTTTATATCATCAACAGTAGTTCCGAGTATTTTCACGAGGATGATCCTGGCCCTGATCATGACGGTGGCGGTGGTGATCACGACCACTGCAGCACGCAATCCTTACGACCGCGAAAGACGGCCGCTATGGTCGACTAAGACAAAACCCAAAGGGTCCCAGGTACTGTTATGGGGAATACTTTCCCAAATCTTATAATAACAGTTCCTAAGATAGAAACCCTACATTCTACCATATAGGTACTTTGGACCCTTTGGGAAAAACTTGTATCAACTGCATGCTTAGATAGGGTTTAGGGTTTAGGGTTTAGGGTTTAGGGTTTAGGGTTTTAGGGTTTTAGGGTTTAGGGTGTAGGGTTTAGGGTTTAGGGATCAGTCTGGCACCTCCAAAGGTGTAATCCGCTGCAACCAGCTCTAGGTCAACACCGCTTGGGTGTTGAACCGGGATCTTAGGGGTTTAGAGTTGAGGGTTCGAGGGTTTAGGGGGTTTAAGGGTTCAGGTCTTAGGGTTTTGGGGGTTTAGGGGTTTAGAGTTGCGGGTTTGGGGGTTTCGGGGTTTTCGGGTTCAGGTCTTAGGGTTTTGGGGGTTTAGGGGTTCAGAGTTGAGGGTTTGGGGGTTTAGGGGTTTAAGGGTTCAGGTCTTAGGGTTTTGGGGGTTTAGGGGTTTAAGGGTTCAGGTCTTAGGGTTTTGGGGGTTTAGGGGTTTAGAGT